GCCATCAAATTTAGCGATCGTATTGATCTTATGGAGGGCGCTGTAAGTTCTTTGAATGATATCGAGTGGAGCTTGAGACTTGAAGAAAGCAAACGTTAGCTTAGTTGTGGTTCATTCTGACCGATTTTATTATTTGCAGCTTGTCAGGAATCCGGAACAACGCGGTAATTTGTTTTCGTCACAGATCACACTTGACGGTTACGTGAACTTTTTGAAGAATGCCGTTGAGTCAAACAAAACGCTTTTCATGATCAGTACGGATCCACGTGACGAGTTGCCATCCAAGAAACTCGTTGGTATGTTGCCACGGTACTTTCACATTACAGCCGCGGTCGTTACTGATTCATTTTTGTAATATTCTTGACCCTCTTCGAGCTGTACTCTAGAATTTGATGGTCGGCGAGTTGCATGTAGTTTGTGTTAAATCGGTGGAAAATCGAAGGTGACTGTATGCGTGTAGATTGGTGTTTGTTCGAGTAATGAAGGTGATTTTATGTCAGATACATACCGTAATATTGAAGGTCAACAATCAGCGTTCCCTGGACTCGTGAGAGATTATGAAGTGAATTCGCACAAATTGGCTGTTGAAGGTGTCATACCCAGACCGTTACCCCTGAATTTTGCATCACTGGATCCCGTCGCTTTAGAAGGTTCTCGTTTGGCATTTCTTCGTTTCTTGATTTATTGTGCATTATTTTCATGTTTAACATATAAATTGTTATACTTTTAATTATATTAATGATCAAATAGTTCTAAACCTTAAGAGGGTTGAAATTAATTTCTCGATTCACTAATTGTCAAATAGACCAATCAGACATATTCTGAATCATCTTTTTAGTTATGATCTGAATTTTTCAATTTTTCAAGCATAAGAGATGGCCGCTTAATGCTTGTTTGACATGATTGACTAGCTGTACCAGCTGATCCATTCAGTCATTCTTTCTTTCTGCCTGTCTCATTTAATGCTTCATTCTGTGACATGTAAACTAGTCGTGGAAAGGAATTGAATAGATGTGTCTTGCTGTGCACTGTTCATTATTGCTTGCCTAGGACAGTTGAAAATACTTGTTTGCTCCAAATTCCAGCATTGCGGCAGGCTCACTCACATGGTCACTCTCACAACAATGCTCATGCTCATAGTCATGGACATTCACATGATGGTATGGAATATGCTCACGCATTTGAAAATCATCAACAAAATCAAGCACCACCACCACCACCACCACCCACTGTAAGCGGTTCATTAGATTTCTTTCATTTTGCAAACAAGGTTCAGTCCACACGAAAGAGCTTTTTAATAGTTTATTTGTTTACAATTTGCTGAGTGGAAATGAATAGCAGCCAAGCGGATAGTTCTAAAGCCAGATCGTTTCACTTTTATCAGTATTGCTGAGCGTAAAAGTGATGCTTTTACTCAACAGCCAGCGGCGATAAATCCGTCGAAAGGGTTTCGAAAATTGATGGTACCGTCGGATTGGTCAGCTTCTATAAGCTAGAGTGTTTGCTGCATGTGAGATCGCATATCGTTTGAAATGGGTAGTGCCTGATTTGGGCTAAAATCCTTTCGGAAAAGCTAGTTTCCGAGCAGATTAAAAACATCGAACACTCAATTTCGATTTCATTTTTTTGGAACCAGAAGCGGAATTTAGGGAAAGCCCCATGTGAAAATACGAAGAGATTTGTTGATTGATGATCAGTGACCACATAGGAGATGTATGGTTATGTTCCGATGTTGTTTTTGAAGGCTCAAGTACCACCGTCACAAACACAGCAAATAAGAAATAATCCACCTCCTGACATTACCACCTCATCGCAGCCGTTATCAAATGACGCCGCAAAAGTGCCAGCACAACCAGCGCCTGCACCTCAACAACCTCAACTACCCAAACCAGTGGCACAACAAGCAACGAATAGTCAACCTCAAGCTGGTGTAGCTGCAGCACTTCCAACCACAGGAAAGACGCCCCAAGCAGTACCGTCAGAAGCTGGAGCGATGCCTGGCGATACACCTCAAATGGACAGTGGTCAACAACTTCCCGCAGATAACTCTCAGCATGCTGGTGCTAGACCAGCGCTCAGAAACGTTCAACAACCAGCGGGAGCTCAAAGAGTTCCCCAGGGCAACCCACCATCATCGGGTGGTCAGTCGGTATCCGGTGGTGTTCCTCAACCAGCGAGAGGTCAACCGCTGCCTGGAGATAACCTTCAGCCATCTGGTGGCCAACCGGTACCCGAAGGAACTTTCCAGGCAACAAATGTGCAGCCAATCACGCCAGATTCACCTAAAACAGTCATTGAGCAACCTGTGCCCGGAGCTGCCTCTCAACCAGCAAGCGCTCCACAGCCAGTAAATCCTGAAGTAAAGCCGATGGGTGCTCAGCCATTGCCGAGCAGTATTAACCAACGGGCTGGCGGTAGCGATCAGCAAGTGCCCAACAAAGTAGATAATCAGTCGACAGGTCAACAAGGTCAAACGGTCACTCATAATGCTAATCAGCAAACTAGTGGACAGTCCCTTCCTGGAAACTCGCATCAGACAGTCGGTGGAGCTAACGTTGATGGGGGTCAATCTACGAATGGTGAATCTGTTCAAGTGTCAGCCAGTGGAAATGTTAAAAATGTGATCGATGGAAAGGAGGATCCCCAGTTAACAGCGTCCAACAACGCGCAAAATGTTAACCGAGTATGTTTTGGAAGTTATATTATCGCTTGCTTGCTTCACATAAGCTCGGTTCGATACATCCAAATACTTTCATATCATGATGAGCGTGGCACCGGGTTTCGCAAGCCGCTAAATGCTTTCGCAATCCACTTACATTCGTTGATAGGTCCAATTAGGTTCGAAGAAGAATCATAAATGGATGGATATTTTACCAGTTTCTTTGGGCGTTGAAGTAATGCAAGTCTTGTCAAGTGAATTCAAATTCGTTTTATTGCCTCGATCGTCTATGATCGTCATTACTTGTATCCGTTATTGTTGCTTATGAACGTTGCATTTTTTTACTGTTTGGGTATGCTTAGTGAAATACCGATCAATCTATCCAAAATGACGAATTTGAAGGATGCACAAATATCATCAACTGGAAATCAGCCAGTGAACGCAGCGGCTNTAGTGCATGATCTGATTGAAAGAGGAAAAACTTGCATTGTTTTCGAAGGAAATTGTCAGTATGGTTGTCAGCTGTTGTGAATTCGTCATTCTTCCGTGCCTTGTTCAATTTTGCATATAGAGTGGAATCATTTCCAGTTGTGTGCCTTGTACATTTTTTGTTTCTATCGATCTGTTGCTCAATTTGGTGTACAATTTCATTTTCATGAAAAGCACTTTTCTTGTGTTGTGAAAATAATACATTGTTCTTCATTTTGCCTTCATTCATGCGTGTAAGGTAATTGCTACAAATTGTGACTGTTATTCGTTGTGGCTCATAGGCAAATGACTGATTTTTTCAAAGTTCTTTCCAGTTTCTTTTTCAATTCAGTTCTTAGGTAATGCGCGTGCATGATTAGTTCAGTTATATGCAGTAATGTAGGCTCAATAATTTTCTCCGTCCTAATTATCCTATATGCTCTTCTTCGGAGGTCTTTGTTGTCATTTCGAAAATCGTGCTCAGGTTGGATTGCAGCAGCATTTTGATAAATCACATATTATACAGAGAAATTTATTGTATAATATCAGTATTCAAATATTTAGGCATCTGAATATCCTTTAGCAAGTGCAACATTTTCGTTAGTTCGTTTAATTAGGGCTATGGCATTTCGGTATGAAATTTTGTGGATTACCCCATTTCCAGCTGTTTTGAATTACCTCATTTCCAACCGTGTCGGTTCCCAATATCAGGCTCAGATCTTTATGAGCCTAAATTCCTCGCAGAATTCTCGAGAATCTCCGCTTTTGAAAATAGATATCCATAATAATGCACGAAACCAAAATAATGGCAATCGAACAAGCAAACGGACGATTCACTATGGATTGCAGCATATTGCCAATCAACCGAATTTGAATAATGCGATCCGAGGGACACCATGGGAAGATGAAGATGAAATTGATCGATTCATTCGTGAAGACATGGAACGACAAGCGATGAAAATGCAAGGTGCTGCCTCGGTAGGAATGGCTCGAGAAGCTACAAGCAACACTCTTGATTCATCAGCGCCAGCACCATATTCTACTCTATATCAACCGAATGCGGATGATCAAGTACAGAAATCGATGACTTTTGATGAGATACCACTGAATAGCGTTATGCGAAATGCTGAGTTGCATGAAATGCACTACCAGAATCCATCGCTAAACGCCAATATTAACGCGTTCGATGAAAAAAATCAGCAACAACACCAACAAAACATTCTTGTTGTGGGTGGTGGTGGACTCGCTAGCTTACCACAACCATCGATGGCTTCATTTTCATCGATACCCATCTCGGAAATTCCCGTTCTGAGCACCACTACGCAATCACCGAGCGTCGCTCACCATTCAGTCCCAACCACTAATCAACCGACCCAAACAGTATCGGGACTATCACCCATGGACGCTAGCATTCACTCGCGTGAACCGATCGCCGAAACACAGCAACCGCCTTCTGGATCTTTTGGAGGAATTTCGCAAGAGCAGAAACAACAGGTTCCTCCCAATACGGTGGGCGCAGAGATATCTTCGTTTGGAACGGCACCCCCTAGCAATCCGTCAAGCAACGACCCAGTTGATCTGAATGCACAACCGCTT